CGCCCGGTTTCCGTCAGCCCGGCGGGGCCGTCGCCGCCTTCGCGCCCCGCTCCGCCGGGGGGAGGGTTTCGGCGGCCGGGCGGTACCGAGAGCGTTGGCCGCGTCTCGGTTTGTCGCGGCCTTCGAGGCCCCGGAGCCCGCGCCCGGAGAGCAGGCGGCGTTTCCTCCGCCGTTGGTTCGAACAGAGCCTGGAGATGCGATAAGCGAAACTCGCTGGCTCGGAAAGCTTAAGCGGGCAATGCTCAGAGAAATACGAAAAGCGAGAGGCGTGAAAAGCAAGCTAGATCTTAAGAAAACTGTCAAATTCACCTGCGTTTTGGGGGGTCCTTTTGATTGTTTTTAAAACGTACATCGAGGTCCCCGCTACACTGGCTGGGTGTCCTTGCAGCGAAATCTCCTTTAGATTGAGATTTAAATGGATAAATATTTGATCCTTATCCCTGATTAATTTTACCTGCATCCAGAGTTACTGGAAGGGATGGGAAAGAAAAACAGCAATTCCACTGGAAGACCCTGAAGGAATTACTGCCTGGCAGGAGCTGAAAAGTAACAACCTGACCAAGAACAGCTAATTAATTAGCCTGATGCTCAAAATGCCTGGTGCGCCTCCGATCCCATTGGTAGATCAAGTGTCGCAATGGGCACAAATGACCTAATCCCTGGAAGAGAGCCATCTCTTCCCAGTAAAGGAGCAAGATATTATGGGATGCAGTGGGTGGCTGCAAGGCTTTGAGCGGTCAGTGCTCTCACCAAGGAAAATTATAGGTTCATACCGCTTATTCTCCTGGTGGCAGTTCTCATCTGTCCACTGGCATGCCAGAGCTGCAAGCTTTCAGTGAAGACACGACAGTTTCATGTTTGCTGCATAGGATATGAGGAGCAAAAGCAGTGCCTGTTCTGAGTTACTTTTGCCTGGGAAACCACGAAGGTCTTTCTTAACAAAAGGAAACCGCTATGTCCATGGTGTTACATCAAGCAGAGTTCTTGCTGGACCCTGACCACGAATCCAGTCAGCCGTCGAGTGGTTTATCATCTTGTGGCCACAACAGACTGAGAGGAAGTGCCAGCTCTCGTGCACAAACATGTTTCACCTCCTCCTGCCTGCAACAATCAAGGATTTGGTGGGTGCTGATCACTGAACTGCCACCTTAGCAGACAGGGCTGACTCACACCTACTCCCCTGCAGAGCTCCCAATGGCTACCAGCAAAAAACCTGCACCATCTCAAAGAGCAAAGCCAAACAAAGTTCTTTTATCTATCTATCATCTGACCAACACCGTTGTTGCGTTTCACAGTATTACCGTGGCTCAGTGTCCAGAGAAACATTCAGGCAGTTAATGCTGAAAATGCCATCACAGGTTAAATACTATCTTTTGGTGCCAAGACCCAGCTCCCTACAGTGCAGATGAATGGGAAATGGGCTGCCTACTGGAAGGGAGAATCATTTTGATTTTCCTGTGCAGACAAGCCTGTGCATTTTTGAAAGTGTGGGGAGCAAAAATGGTGCCCAGGTTCTGTTTGGCCATTTCTCAGGAAGATGCCCAGTCCCGTTTCACATCTTGAAATAAACTGGACAGGAGCTATCTGAAAACAGCTTCCCACATCCAACATCACAATCCAAAACAATTGACGATTTGTGGCAATAAACAGGGACAAGGAGGGGTTTATGGAGGGCATTGGATTCTGCCCTCAGCTTCGCAATCAACCTTTAATAGAGAAGCTGGGTGCTTATTCATATGGCAGCTATCTGCGTGCATTTGCACAAATCCTTGTTAATGCTAATTCCACATTTAAAAAAAAAAAAAAGGCAAAATTTGTGGGTGCAATCACAGAATAACTTCAGGCTGCCAGAGGAAAAAAGCCAATGTATCAGGGAGGCAATACTGGAAGTATCTTACAGGACTGTCACGTGAGAATTTATCTGGAACACCACGTGCAGGTTACCAAGATTCAAGAAAGATTAGTTGACAATGGAACAGATTAAAGAGCCTCTAAGCTGCAGAAGAGAGTTGAGAGTCTTACAAACAGGACTAGGTCTTGGCTCCTTCAGCCTAGCAAGATAAAGGCTGTACAACTGCCTTAAAAAGATTACAGACAGCAATGGCATGTACAAACTTATGGCAGAGAGAAGCACTGGCAGAGACACAACTGTGTATGAACTGCCCAGGAACAAATTTGGGCTGGAAATGATGTTTGCCAGGAGGTTCTGGAAAAGCCTCTATCTCTAAGAGGTACTTAAGAAAGAACATTGTTTGCGTCTAGGGTTATAGGATACGGCTGTAAACGGTTCTGGTGCAGGGTGGTGTCCCTGTGGGTCAGTCACCAGGCCCAACAGTTCCCCCCCAGGGCACGTCACAAGGGGCCAAACTCTTCCTTCAGTTCATCTGTCAGACCTTGCTCTTGGTTTGGCTGCCAAAGCCCTCAGCTTAGTTTCCTCATCCTAAAGCACTGAAATGTTTCTTGCACGGGTCTGGGAAGAATCAATACCTTGTAACTGAACAAAACACCCAGCCCATTTGACCGCAGTGTGAGATTTGAAGCGAGACATTGGTGGGATCTGCCATCCTCTAGCTGGGCCATTGTGGGGAAGGACAGAGAGAAACAGCCCACAGCTATTTTCTGCTTGTGGTAATTATAGTATCAAAGGCTGAACCAACAGGTTCTTTAGCAAGGAGATTCCCTGCAGCTTGCAAGATACAGATATCAAAATACCCCACAGATTCACAGCTCAGGTTTCAGGTGATTCAGAATAATATTGTGCCATATAATAATTTCACGTAATTCCTTGTTCAAGCTGAAGAACTCAATTGATAATGACTGTCTATAAAAGTTAATAGTAAGCTACATTAAAAAGCTCACAGGATTATCTCTAGGCAACTGCAACAATATATTACTAGCAGTAGAACCATCACCAGCCCTTAGGCTTCACGGGTGGTTTCCTGTAGGCCCCACTTTCCAAACCTGAACCAGACTGGAGACCAGCACAGTGGGATCTCTCACCCTGTCCCTGGGGCACGGCAAACAGAAGCCAGCATGCCGCGGGAGGCACCGGAGCCCCCCATGGGCAGCAACTGCCAGGTCTGCACCAGCAGCTCTGTGCTGCAGCAGCCAGAGGGACATTCGGAAACCCCAGAGCCCTCCCCACTGTTTCTTTCAGCAGAGCAGAGCAGGGAGGCTTTGATCCCACCCATCCCACCACCCGTGCCCGTAGGTGCTGTACCACGTGTTATGAGTCCACTCACCGTGAGCCCAGCAGTCAGACAGCCCAGAGTCCCAGCAGCTCCCACTCGCCGTCCAGATGCTGCTGTCCCAGGGTCACCAGCAGGATGGTGGTCTGGGCGTGGGATCGCATGTGTCTCCAGCTGGCAGGACCGGCTGCCCTGGCTCTGACTGTCATTAAGACCCTGCTGTCCCTACAGCGAGGTTCAGCTAAGGTGACTTGCCCAAGGGCACTAAGGAGAAAAGGGTGGTAGAGTTCCTTCACTCAAGCCCAAGCAGCTTCACAGAAGGGAGTTGAAAGAGCAGGATGTAAATCAGGAATGACTAATTACTGCTCAACATGGTTGCCCTAAACCTGTCTTTTCCACGGGCTCCTTGGCCACCCCGACCTTTCCCCACCTAGCTGGGAGCAGCACAGGGGCTGCTAACAGCCAGGAACAGCCTGGGCACAGGGTATCGGCCCCCATTCCTGCTGCTGCACAGTTGGACACAGCCCCCCATTTCCCTCCAAACAGAATGTTCCTGCCCAAATTCCATTACACAGG